AAGGTGGCTCCCTCAGCAGTGGCATTAGACAACTGTACGGCAGCTTTCTGCTACGTCTATTTTCGTGGCAGACAGCAACAGCTGACATTCACGCACCGTGCTACTCTTAACTCTCAACAAGCGAGTGCGCGCAACCCAGAACCCTTGACAACTACATGAGGAGGTTTCACTGCTACCTTGCAATTGCCCCGAGAGACTGCTTGCGGCGATGCGGGTGCCCGGCCCGCTCGCTATTTTTCCGTGGCTCCCTGGGCCTGGATCTCACTGAACAATACCTGTCTGCCTCTCCCCTCTTCGTACGCGGGTTAACGCTCCCACGACCGTGGGTGGGACCCTCTAGCGGACCACGTCTGGTTCAATGGTGCCAAAACTGAAATGTGGTTGATTGTTGATTGTTGCCGCGACGGGGCGGAAATTAAGCAACACCGATTGGCTACGGCCAACTACCAATTACCCGCACCCAGCGTTCGCTCAACTTGTTCACCCGTGAAGTCCTACGGATTCCTCTTACACCATCCCCACACACAATCAAACCCCTGGGCACTGCGTGAGACGAGTTTGGTATTGTTGGGTGTCAGCCCTCCACGCTGCACGGCTATGTGGGTTATGTACATTATTACTTGACCACTTCATGGACACGTCCATGGACGTCCGTGGACACATCCATGGACGTCCATGGACTGTCCGTGGCACGTCCGTGGACATCCGTAGACGTCCACGGACGTCCGTGGATGTCCATGGACGTTGTCCGTGGGCATTTCCTTGGACATGTCCGCGGACATGTTCCCGGACTTGTGCGCGGACGTCCACGGGCGTCCACGGACGCGTCCACAGACATGTCCATGGACGTTTTCCACGAACATGTCCACCGACATGTCCACCGACGGGAAGTGTTCGGAAGTCCACTGTCCACGAGACTGATCACGTTTGTTTCCTTTTGTTCATGTTGACGCGCGCCCGCCCCCCTCCTATGGGTCTCCCACACTTTCGGGGTTTTGATAATCCGCCCGCCCATGAGCAGCCCGTGGACAGCCCATGGGCAGCTCATGGTGGGCACTCCATGGGCACCTTGATTGCCCTCGACGGGCAGCCCATGGTCACGCCCACGGTCAAGCCTACCATGCCCGCCATGGGCTGGCCACGGGCTGACCATGGGCACCTCAATATGTGCAGCCCATCGTGGGGCACAGCCCACCACGGTGAGCATGTTGGACATACCATTGGGCCTCCCATCTTGGGCAAATTTCCAGGGAAAATGAGGTTTGGTCAGGATCCTTTTATGGTTGGCCAAACCTCTTGGTTACAGTCCCTAATGTGCAACAAATATACGCTCCCGTGATCCCCACGACCCAGACGGCCTAGAAAAAAAAAGAACCGTGAAAGTGTGGGGGTACTCTGCAGCATTATTGAAGAAAAAAAGAGAACGGGGAGGATGCTTGGGATCGGACCCCGGCCCTCATGAAGAAAGGGCGTACGCACAAACTCTTGGGGTATGTGCACAACGTCCCATACTACTGGCCGCCTTCTTAAACCGCCCATGAGCCACCCATCGGTCACCCATGAGCCGCCCATGGGCCGCCCATGGGCACTTCATGGCCCACCCATGGGCGTCCCTATGAGCAGCTAATGGGCGGCCCATGAAGTGCCCACCGTGGGCACTTCAACCTAGAACTTCGCCACAGGGATATCAACCTAGAACATAGCCACCAGCGCCAACCTAGCACGTATAGTGTGGGCTTAAGGATAGGGTTACGGTTTGCGTTAGGGGTATTTGCCGCCCATATGGGCTGCCCATGCGCATGCGCATGCCCATGGGCATGGGCATGTCCATGGGCGACCATTGGGTGAACCATTGTCTGCCCATGGGCCTACCGGGGTGCGCATACACGGCCCATGGGTCGTTTGGGAAAACTGTAGAAAGTGTTGGAGATCCTACGTGCAGCGAACGGCGCTTTTGTGTCCCCAAGCATAGTCTATTCTTATACCACAAATTTCATACTATCATGGAAGATGGGTTCACCGAAAGTGTCTCGTCGACGCCGATACAAGACCCACATGGGCGCCCTGTGGAGTTCCCGCCAAACAAAGGCCTTGGACAAGGCGGATGGATGGAGATGGTTGCGTGTAAGCATCTCGTTGGAGGGGGTTGAGTTGACTGCATTTGCTCCCGATACATTACCAATAATCCGCCTTCGGCAGGGAAAAAATAATCCTACGTTTTGGCTCCTATCCAAGTATCATTATTGCATTGTCTGGAGAAACTGTCCTCGTCGTAGCCCATCATACCACCCAAGGATGGCATCTCTCTCACGTTCGTCAACGAATGCAAAGATGCCGAGTCGCTGAAACAGGGATGCGCGAAAAGAATATGCTTGCACTAATGCAGACCCATCATTTGGGACAACTTCGCGGGGGGGGGGGGAGTGGTACCGGCATTCTTTTGGGGTCTTGCCAAGGAGGTAAAATGAACCGAAAGTGGAAGTGCCCATGGTAGTTTGCTTATGAACATGGCACTGCTTGCTCACGGAAGTTACCTGTTGAACGAAATATCACAAATGACCCGTGTGCGTGGCATTTAGATGCACGACGCTCAAACCTTCATGCCTTCCTAGTTCCCAGCCGCATCTTGTGGTATGCTTGAATATCGGAGTCGATACAAATTCCTCTTCGTTCAGGCCAGGAGATACATGACGCCGACGAGCAGTTGTTCCGATGCCTCTGTGGACCGCTTGTATTTTCTATCTCGACTCGTGCTCGTCAGCCCAATTGATTTAGTCGTGAAATCGTTAGGCTGGAGTTTACTCTACCATTATCCCACTCAAACAACTTGCCGCTTTTTTTCCTTGTTTTTTCCTTTTTGCGATTACCATGAATGCATAGTGAACGAGTTGAATCTGTTGTGCGGGATCGAGAACCCTCCCTCCGCGCAAGGGGGATGATCGCACCACGTTGTGTTAAATTGGTGAAACAACCTCTCGAGGCAGTTACACAGTGCTGATGACTGTCTCTGGAGCTGAAAGCACCAGACAATAAAAAAAGTCATAGGCAGCTGTCATCCGTACCCGAGGAAGTAAGCACAGGATGCCGAACGCTGTTAGGAGGATGCAGCGCACCCTTCATGCGACCCGCCGAATACCTCACGGCGCTTCGCGCTTGGTGATGTGAGAGCCTGGTCCGGTGAGAATCCGGCGTGCTCCGTCCCGGCATGCGAGGTCCATGGTCTAACGACTATACGTCATGCAGGACAAAAGTAATCCCCCCGAGGGCCGCGAAGAAAGTTTTTTTTTCGCGGTACATTTGAAGTTGGTTTTGAAGTCTTGAATAATACAGTAGTGGTTGGGACAACCCCCCAAGCTGCAAAGCTCACAACGTCTCAAAGCTTCTGGGACAGGTCCACCATGACCATTTGACCTTGGGCGAATATGACGAAATAACACCAACAAACGACACACCAGAACCAAATAATACATCATAACCATGTGTGGAACATCACTCCAAGCTTACTCAAGGCGGGAAAATACCGGAGAGGGGCTGACGACGAGCCTACGGTGGTGGCTTCACCTTCGCCACGTGTAACACCCGCAACGATTGCAATTAGCCGTGCGTTGTACATATTATGCCCGAAGCCCCCCACCTCCCCCAACAAGACTAAACAGCCGCTTCATCAAGCGCTTTCGCGTCAAGCGTCTTCATCCTCCCTCCTCCTCCCTAACCCTCACCCTAACCCTCACCCTCCTCCAACCTCTGCTACGGTGCAGTTGGCTGCGGTACAGGCAAGCTCGTTCAGGGACTACGTCGATTGTAGTACCGCCGCGCGTGAAATGTGCCCCCTTTTAATAGGATTTTACTGTATGGACTCGATTTATTAAGGAAATTGTATGACGTTGGGGGGGGGGGCGTGCTCTTATGTTGTGCATGCCTTAGCGGTTACACCATTAACCACACGTCCTCGAGAAGACGGAGCACTGTGTTCCGACAGGACCGATCACCGACGGTCAATCGTTTCTTCCTACTTTGCCAAAGGTGGCTCAAAAGTGTCTTCCCTAATCCATCCATCCGATATCACGTCCCGCCTTTTCAACCCACCCAGTACAGCTACCGTCTTCCCCTGACCATTCCATGCCTCAATCTTCTCTCTGTATCTCCCCTATACTTTTCGCAGCTCAGCCATGTCCACTTTCCTTTCCGGCTTGTTCAACGAGCATTCCGCAACTACATGAACTTTTCGTCTTCATCGCCGCCTTCCGAAATCTTCGTCTACGCTCTCGAAGGTCAATATCCCCGGTTTTGAGTTTGACCTTAACCTCTGTCCAGGCATCCATTGGTCCATGTAGATACTCCGTGAACCCTATTCCTTCTTTCAACATTCCGTACAAATCTGGAACCTCCTTTTACTCGGTGTTTTGGTTGGAAACTGTTCTCCTCTCTTGGCACAAGCAACAGGGGGGAGGTCCCCCCCCCCCCCCC